TTACATACATAATATACATATATAAGAATGCCTTGTATTGCTCGACTCTAGACTTGAGTCAGAGGCTTATTTGACAATGTCAGATGATTTATGTGTATCTACGATGAAGCTAAATACGCCGGAGATCTTGGCTTGAACGCAAGCAGTACTTGGCTACTGCTTGCCTGATCATTGACAGGGACACCTTGGGGCTTTCTCTTCATGTTCTGGCTATGCTGTCTATTCTAATTGCCAAATTGTAGAGATTTTGATTGATAATTCTCTTCGGATCAGAGAGATGGAAAACTACAAATATTGGTCTGTTTGCATAACCTGGTTAATGAATCCACTAAAGCATGAGGTTCCTTTCTTATTCTGAGTTCTTCTTGGGCTGGAATAAGAAAATTATAAAGTAATTCAAAGAATAAACCAAAATGTAGTAATTTAGAGCGAATTTGCTAAAAAATCAAGAAATTACCAATCCAGAGGATGATAGGGTACTCATTTAAACCAAGGTTGTTAAAATCGGGATTCTACGTAGAATCGTTTTGGGTTCCGTAGAATCGGAATTGTAGAATCGGATCGTGAATCGTAAGATTCTACCAAATTGTGAAAAAACAATTGAAACTAACTTCTTAAATAATAAGATCTGTAAAATATAACAAAAATGAGGCCAAAACACACAATATTACATATCCATGAGTTCACAAATCTCAAATCCTAACAATATTTCAAAGTCCGAATATAAATAAAAGAAAATTTAGAAATCTCAAATCTTAACCCATCCATCTCCAAAGTTAGAAAATATTACATATCAAAAGTAAACCCTTTTATTTTATTTTATTTTTTTTTTATTTTTTTTATTTTTAAAACTGAAGAAATAAGAAGACCTTTTTGTCCACCAATCCAAGTGTTACGGTGTATGTGACCTTATTAGTCACAAGTATGAAATTAATCAAGAGTTAGCATAACAAAATATGAACCACGCGTTAACTTGATCTCATTATATTATCAGTTTAGACTACAAGATTATACATTGGCTGACATATTCAGCAAGTCTTTTAAGCTTTTAAATTATTTTTAATTTTTAATATATATGATAAGCCTTCAAAAAATAAAAATAGTCAAATGAAACCAAAATTTGCCTAAACCTGTTAGTCACGAGTATGCATCCTTGAGATATAATTGATCATTTTAATTTTTTATAATTAAATACAAAAATATATAATGGAACATCAACATACATGGTAAAAATAATTGATATATATACATATATATATATATTTCTTTTTCTGCCACTAATGAAAAATAATTTATATTTTATATAATAAATATTTAACTTGGTGTACTACACTTGGGCCAGGCCTCTTTTATTTTGTAGCCCGGAAGAAACCAACCAAAAAATAAAAGAAAGCCCAAAAATAAAGGCCCAAACAACCAATTTCGTAGAATCGGTAGAATCGTGTAGAATCGTACGATTCTACCTCCGATTCTATGATTCTACCCCCGATTCTACCGATTCTACTCCCGATTCTACTAATTGAACGATTCTGTTGCGATTTGACTCGATTTTGAGTTCTGAGTCGTAGAATCGTGCGATTCTACGACTCAGAATCGCGATTTTGACAACCATGATTTAAACACATACAAAATCTCGCGTCTGACACATTTTTAGCAAACACTACTTACGTGTCACAAACAAAACCCACAAAATAAGTTTAACATATTTGACTTTTTGAAGCAAGACTTCAATGTGGAAATCTAAGTACATCACTTGTTTTTTCTCAGCTTTTTGTCTTTTTGGTTTTTTTTCAGCAAGACTATATTTTCTCAACTATAATGACCTATTCTCCTTTAAAAATATTCACTTTAAAACATTTTGGGTAAATTATACAGACCTCCCCTATAATTTGTAGACCTCCTCTTTGGTTTGAGAAATTATTCAGACATCCCTTGAAAATGAAACTAATCTACATGGACCTCCCCTCTTACTAACGAACGGTCACATGTACTAATAGAGTAGTCTAATTTACTGAAATGCCCTCAAGCTGTTATGGTAAATGATTGAAATACCAATTTGTATGTGTGTGTGTGTGTGTGTGTGTATTATATACATAAATCATGTATACATATATATTTTTATGAGAGTTGGCTTCCATATATATTGTCATACACATAGGGTTTTCGGATAAGTTGGTTTTGTGAATGATTGACCAAAACTGAGAACCAATTTTGAGCTGTTAATGGTGTGAGCATTGAAGACCCAACCGAACTCAAGCATCCATTGAAGGCTCCGGAGGAGAAAACTGTACCATCGAAGATTTCGGCGAAGAAATAAGTTCCAGCTATGGTCTCAGAAAAAGCTCAGACGAGAAATTCAACCTACAAGACCAAAGAAGCTTCAAAGAACAATTAGTGCACTTTAAAGAAGACCCTAACAGTTCTGGCGAATTTCACTTTGTGAACGAACAATTCCGGCGAAGGTACATAACGCCATTAATCAAGAACTCCAGTGAGGTACAAAACTTCAGTGAGCTTTGAACTTTATGACAACTTATTTTGTGGCATCTCTTTGGGAAATACATATATATATATTTATAAAGAGTTGGGAAATGCGAACAGGCTTGGGCTGGGCAGGTGCAACCTAACAGACATGACTAACTGGGATGCTCAACATTCGAAAGATCAATAGTTCATGCCCAATTCATATTTAATCAAAAATAATGAAAATATGCCTCTATTTGGGTTTGTTTGGTATAAGCGGACCACCCCTTAAAGGAAGAAGGCCTATTAACCTTCAACCTAGGAGAAAAATGTAAGAAATTAGAGCAAGTGTAAGCTTCTATAAATAGAAGTTAGAGAAGGAAAGAGCGGCAGATTATTTGGAGTGTGATAAAACCTTTTCCTAATATAAAACGGCATTTTCTTGTATCTTTATCCGGTACCTCTGTGGGAAACGACAGAAGGATTCATTGATTTCAACGAAAAATGACACAGCTCCGATCGGGAACTGTGAAGAAGACCAACGGGTTAGGCATGACGAAATGATTCAGATCATGGAGACTCTACGAAGAGAGAACGCTGAGCTAAGATCGAGAATGGAACGAATGGATGTTCTACCACTTCCTCGCCCACAGGTTGCAGATGAACGCGTGGAGCTAACGAACGTCAACCGGCGGGCAGAAAGAGTAGGATCCATCAATATGGATCCTCAGCATAGAACGCCCAGACTGGAGGAGGAGGTGAAACACGTTGAAGCTGTTCCATCATGCCGGAAAGAGTCAACTGCAGATAAGGTATTTGACGATTTGTGTGATGACCCTGTGGGCAGGTGCGAGACACTAACAGGCTACCACACTGGCGAGCTACAGGTGCACAAGTCCCACATCGCCTGGGTAAGGGAAATGTGAAGTACTTATATGTAAGTGTGTCATCTCCAATTGGGATGAGGCCTTTTGGGGTGAAGCACAAGAGCAAAACCGTGCGGACTCAGGCCCAAAGCGGACAATATTATACCATGTGGTGGAGTGGGTCATTACAAATGGTATTAGAGCTTAACCCAACCGGAAGTGTGTCGACGAGGACGTCGGGCCTCCAAGGGGAGTGGATTGTGATGACCCTGTGGGCGGGTGCGAGACACTGATAGTCTACCACACTGGCGAGTTACGGGTGCACAATCCCACATTGCCTGGGAAAAGGAAAGGTGAAGTACTTATATGTAGGTGTGTCACTCTGATTGGTATGAGGCCTTTTGGGGTAAAGCCCAAAAGCAAAACCGTGCGAGCTCAGGCCCAAATCAGATAATATCATACCATGTGGTAGAGTGGGTCGTTACAATTTGCGCCAGTCAAAAGTAAGTCCTCATGACCAGAGAGCCACCAGAAAATAGCAGTTGGACCAAAGGGCACCCCCGGTGATCAATGAAGCTAATCGATCATGGCCCGGACGATCGATTCACCCTTTATAGAAGAGATATTGAGATCTCCAAAAGCCAGTAAATTCTTAATGCCAACATTTACGCTGTTTGACGGAACTAAAGATCCAACCGAGCACGTCTAACAGATCCAGCTGGAGATGGCCCCAGACATCGAGGACGACGCCTTGATATGTAAGGTCTTCCTAACAAACCTCACACGGCCTGCACTCAATTGGTTCAAACACCTACCAATGGGGTCGGTCGATAGCTTTCGGACACTTTACGACCTATTCATAGGTTAATATTTCAGTAATCGAAGGATTGAGAAGGATATATCATGTCTGTTCACTATGAGGCAGCGGGAAGGGGAGCATCTCTAGGCCTTTGTCACCAGATTTAATTTGGAGATGAGCATAGTGATTGATTGCCATCCATCATCAGCAATACAGGCATTCAAACTCACCATGATTAGAGGGGATCTGTTTCACACGTCCTTGGTGGTGGCGTCACCTAATAGTATGGATGAACTCAATTCAAGAGCACAAGGCTACGTACGTCTCAAGGAGGACGAAACAGATAATACGAGGAAGATCACAATGGTTACAGTGGAAAACAAGTTGAGAGCAAAGATGACTGCCTAGAAACCCCAGTACCACAACCCTTAGTGACACCTTGGAAGACCGAGAAAAGGCAACGAAAGGATGAGATAGTCACCCTTCTCAAGGTCACTTTGGTACGGTTGTATCAGGAGAATAAAAGGATGTTCCGAGCGCCTCAATCAATCAGACAGACGATTGAACAAAGAGATCAATCCAAGTATTGCGCGTTCCATAGTGACTTCGAACACCAAACAAATGAGTGCAGTAACTTGTGAAGGCAAGTTAAGATGCAAATTGTGAAAGGAGACCTAGCCAACTATGTCCAAGAAAAGGAGCAGAACCGTCCAGATGACCATTACAAGCGAAATGCAAGGGTGAACCTTCACGAGGGGTAGCCAATCCGGATAATTAATGTGATTCATGAGCAACCTGAAGCCAAGGATAAGTCAGAGGAACTAAGGCGAATGTGACTTCAACAGGCTCACAAGATGAGAAGGATAGGAAACATGAATACGGTTTGCCAGGAAATGGACGTGCCCTTGATCAGATTTGACAAGGATGACCTTCTAAGGGTACAAACACCACATGAGGACCCATTAGTGATTAGCCTAATAGTGTCAAACTGCTTGAGCAAAAGGGTTTTGGTGGATCCGGGCAACAACGCCAATATCATAAACAAGGTGGCGTTCGAGCAATTGATAGTAGAACCGAAACAAGTTAAACCCACAGGGAACCCTTTGGTAGGTTTTGACGGCAAGAGAGTGGAACCTATTAGAATTGTCGAGCTACCCGTGTACGCTGCACGACGGAACTTAAAGGAGAACTTCGTCATAGTGGATGAGCACCTTTCTCAACCTCCTGATGGGAAGAGGTTTGATCCACCAAGTACAAGGCGTTCCGTCCACCCTGCACCAAGTTATGACATGTTTAAGCCTAGATAGGAAAGAGGTGATTGACATCCACGGAGACCAAGTTGCTGCAAAAGAGTGTTATGTGGTGACACTTAGGGCCAGTGGGAAGTGCAAGGCAGTTGTTGTGATACCCCCTAATTTCATAACACGGGTTGATCAAATCCGCGCACAAAATCAAGGAAATATCAAATCAATTAAAGTATTTCAAACAAGTACAGAATACAAAATAAAATAAAAGAACAAATAATACGATGAAGAAAAACTAATAAATAAAAATTTCCATTTATAACTCGCCAATGGTTACAACTAGGGAATCCCGTAACTCAAGGACCCCTTAACCAAAATCCACTATCCATAAATCCATTAATAATTACTGAGATAATAATATTCTACTTTGAAATAAAATAGAAAGAATAGATAAGTCTTCCAGTTGCGGATCCTCAACCTTGAGACTTGAACTTTTAATAACCTGAAAAAAAATCGTGAGTTAAACCCTACGAGCAAGCTCTCTCTACCAGGCCTCTGAAAACCAATAAGCAAATCATCTCTAATCAAAACCAAACCTAATAAAGTTTTAAGTTTAATAAAGATACACATATGTACAAATAATTATATACAATATAACCTTCACATCCATTAATAGGTTCATTAATTTTCAGAACCATTAAACCAAGATTAAAATATAATCATACCTCAATCAATCCACAATCTCCTTCTCTTTTAAAGAGGAACATTTTAACCTTAATTTCATTTTAAATAATTATTTAATCATTTAAATAATAAATTATAATTTAAGGAATAATTCCTTTAATCTAAAACCCTATAACCACTAATGAATGATTTTATTTATTTAGATCATAAAGTAAAGATTTATGCCTTGGCAATTCATCCATGCCTTCTCCAATATTATTTTATTAATATATATAAAATAGTACACTAAATTATAAATAATCGATTATTCTAATTTAAAAATAACAAATCCTAATTCAACCTATACATACAATAACTATAGATAGAATTTTAATCATCTAACATATAGCAATTTAATTACGCTTTGGCAAATCAACCATGCCATTATGTATATATTTTATTCATACAAATAAGGCAATATTTTTTTAAGCCTTTGACAAATAAGGAGTCCTAGATAATATGAACAATTGAGTCTTTACTCAAATTGTCTCCCTTAGGGGGAGTAATGTTGATTGGAAAGGAAAGGAGGTTATCACATCACTATATAAAGATTTATGTTTTATTAAATAGGAAATAACCTATAGTTGTCAAGGATATAAATATGTATTTTGCGCTATGTGTAGAAAAAAGGGTTTTTATGTATTTTGCTGCAAGAGAATACACAATGGGGACGTTTACCAACAAATATAAATTGTTGAGATTAAGTTATAAAAAAATGCAGCGAGAATAGATTAGCTTAGTATATTCTTAATAAATTACGAGTATGCTTGCTAATTATGAGTATGTGTGGATGGGTTAATTTCCACACAGATAAAGGGAACATGGAAATTTGACATTAAATAATCAAAGTTTTTCATTTCATAGATTCGGGAATTCCGAGAACAGAATTCTTTTTGTTAGGGGGGAAGAATGTAATACCCCGATATTTTAAATGATTTATTAATTGGGATTAATTATTTTTATTTTATTTTTAAATGATTTATTTGATTTAATTTGAATCAATTACGTCTATTTTAATTTTTAATTGATTTGTTTTATTAAGTGCTTAGATTAATTATTTTATTTTATTTATATTTCGTGAATTATTGATATGATGATTGTTGTGTGTGTACTTAATTATTGATTGAATTGTTGGCGTGTTGATTTTATTAGTATGGTATGACTTAGTTGTAAATTCTTATTTGTTTATGCGCTTTATGTAATTAGTTATTTTAATTTAAGTGTTTATTTAATTATTTTATTTATTTTAATTAATTGGATTGGGTTTAAGGAAAGTTGGACCAAAGGATATGGTCTTGGGCTTGGACGAAGTCTTGTTGAGTTAATTAATAAAGGCCCATGATTATGTAATTATTTAAATGATCGTTTTTGGATAATTATAAATATATATATAATTAAGAAGTGTTGTGGAAGGATATATATATATATATTATTTAAAGATAATTATTTTTATTTTTATTTGGTAATCTTAGTAGGAATAGGATTAGGGTAATTAATGTGTATAAATATACACATAAGGTTTTATTATTAAGGGTTTTTCACGTTAGAAAAATAAGAGAGGCAGAGAGAGGGAGAAGAAGAGAAACTTGATAAAAAGGAGGCCAGATCAGAGAAAGAGGATGTCGGAATTAGAAGAGACAATTAAAGCTTGAAGCGTCAGTTTCGTTTTGAAATCTTCAGGCGAGTTCTTCTCTAACTTTCCTCTTAGAACTCATAAGGATTTAACCTTGAGTATCAATATTTAGATTAATTTTATTTGCTTAAAAATCATGGTTGGAATAGATTAATCAAAAGTATTAAGTTAATTTTATTTGATTAAATGAGAATTAAATCGGAGTATTAAAACAATGATTTATTATTATTTTATTTTTTTTTTAAATTATTGGTTTTAATTATATATATATATATATAGGTTGTATATATTTAAAATCAATTTATAGGCTTGATCTAGACCCAAGAGGGTTAATTGAGGTTTTTTTAGAATTTCTGGGATTTTTTTGAAATTTTATGGAATTTTTTTGGATTTTTTTATATATTTTTAGAATTTGTTTTAGAAAATTTGTATATGTGTTTTTTTTGGAATTTCTACAAACTGTTCCGCATTGGGATTCTACGTCAACAAGGGAGTTTGATCTAGTGCGTTGCGGTACATTGAATTATGGTGTGCTGCGAGTCTGATCCATAGATGTGCCTTGATAAAGGGAGATTGATCCGGTGCGGTGCGATATACGGGAGTTACATACCCACGGATCTGGGCCGTTAATGGGGGGATCAGATGGGTGGATTGATTCAGTGTGGGCGAGCTCACTGTAGCGCATGAGCTCAGCCAATACCAGCACACACGGAGGCTTGGATCCAGTGCGTGTATCTTCTTTCGTACCAATTTCATTATCAGATTCCCATCCTACTAGTCTTACTAGGAGATATTTACGTTTTAGTAAGACGGTGTCGAAAAATTATTTAAACCGAGATGAAATATTTATGGGAAACCGTTTTTGATGATATTTTGTAGCATTTAATTTGCCACTAATATAATAAATTAATAATTGGTTATGTAAGGATGATATATATATATATATATATATATATATATATATATATATATTTGCTTATTTATAAATTGGCAACTCAACCATAGTTCCTTTAAGTATTTTTATTTATACATTGTCAATTCAACCATGCCTCCACAAGTATATTTATTTACAGATTGACAAATCAACCATACCTCTTATGTATATATTTTATTCATACAAACAAATCAATATTTTTTTAAGCCTTTGGCAACTCACTCATGCCTATAATTCATCCATGTACCAATTTTTGACTCAACGATACCTAATTCATACATAGACATCTCATGCAGATTATAAGCATATCATTAATTTAATAACCAGTCCATCCAGATATATCAAGTAAGAATAATAATACTAATAATCTTAATTAACATACATATATATACACATATATTATATAATATATATGTATATAATCATTCCTTAATAATTCTTAATTATTTAAAATCACATATACATATATATCAACAATTATATATATATATATATATATATATATATATAATTAAATAAACCAACTCATAAATCAAATAAACCATATATACACATATATAAATAAATAAATATCCTTCCATAACAAATTATTAATTTATTATATTAGTAGCAAATTAAATGCTATTAAATATCGTCAAAAACGGTTTCCCATAAATATTCCATCTCGATTTAAATAATTTTCCGATACCGTTTTACTAAAACATAAATTTCTCCTATTATGATCAAAATCTGACAATGAAATTGGTACCATTGGAAAGATGACGAAAAATCCTTAAATTTGAGCTCAAGAATGACCCAATTTTGATTTAAGATAACTAAGTTATGACCGTTTCAATTTCAAGTGTCGAAAGAGGCCAACAATAGTTTCCTACGCGCGCCCACACATTTACCATGCACTTGCACGCGCTGGATCCAAGCCTTTGTGTGTGCTGCTGGTATTGGTTGAGCTCATGCGCTACAGTGAGCTCGCCCACACTGAATCAATCCACTCATCTGATCCCCCATTAACCGTCCAGATCTGCGCATATAGTAACTCCAGTAACCGCGCTGCACCGGATCAATCTCCCTTTTATCAAGGTACATCTATGGATCAGATTCGTGGTACACCATAATTCAATGTACTGTAACGCACTAGATTAAACTTCCTTGATGCAGAATCCCAGCACGTAATAGTTTGTAGAAATTCCAAAAAAAAAAAACCCATATAAAAATTTTCTAACAACATAAAAAAAATCGATAAAATTTCCATAAAATTTCAGAAAAATCCTAGAAATTCTAAAAAAACCTCAATTAATCCTCTTGGGTCCAGATCAAGCCTATAAATTGATTTTAAATATATACCACCTATATATATATAATTAAAACCAACAATTTTTAAAAAATAAAATAATAATAAATCATTGTTTTAATACTCCGATTTAATTCTCATTTAATCAAATAAAGTTAACTTAATACTTTTGATTAATTCGTTCCAACCATGATTTTTAAGCAAATAAATTAATCTAAACATTGATCCTTAAGGTGAAATCCTTATGAGTTCTAAGAGGAAAGTTAGACAAGAACTCATCTGAAGGTTTCAAAACGAAACCGATGCTCAAGCTTTAATTTTCTTTTCTAATTCCGGCATCATCTTTCTCTGATCCGGCCTTCTCTTTATCAGCTTTCTCTTCTTCTCCCTCTCTCTGCTCTCTTATTTTTCTAACATGAAAAACCCTTAATAATAAAATCTTATGTGTATATTTATACACATTAATTACCATAATCCTATTCCTACTAGAATTACCAAATAAAAATAATAATTATTATCTTTAAATAATATATATATATATATATATATTTATAATTATCTAAAAACGATCATTTAAATAATCACATAACCATGGGCCTTTATTGATTAACCCAACACGACTTCATCCAAGCCCAAGACCATATCCTTTGGTCCAACTTTTCTTAAACCCAATCCAATTAATTTAAATAAATAAACACTTAAATTAAAATAACTAATTATATAGAGTACATAAACAAACAAGAATTTACAACTAAACCATACCATATCAATAAAATCAACACGCCAACAATTCAATCAATAATTGAGTACACACACAACAATCATCATATCAATAATTCACAAAATATAAATAAAATAAAATAATTAATCTAAGCACTTAATAAAACAAATCAATTAAAAACTAAAATAAACGTAATTAATTCAAATTAAATCAAATAAATCATTTAAAAATAAAATAAAAATAATTAATCCCAATTAATAAATCATTTAAAATATCAGTGTATTACAGTTGCCCATTCTGCAAGTACAAAATAGCAATTACATATCCCTTCACCTCGAAAGAAGGAATTGAGGGCAGAGGAACCAATCCTCACAATTGAGCTTTAGAAGAAATACAGATCAAACCCATGCAACCTACAAGAACAATGAAGATAGGATCTGTTGACCTTAAGGATTCCATCCAAGGATAATCTAGAGGTTTTGATAATAACAAACCATTAATGGTGTTTAAGGACTAATGCTTACATTGAGTGTAATATAAATTATTGACATTCAAATAATGACCTTAATGAAGTTATAATGATCATTCCAAGTATTCTTACTCAAGATCACATCATAGAAAACAAGGATACAAAGAAGACTTGAAGTTGAAAGAAAAGATAGTTTAGACTACAACGAGCAAGCAACTCAAAGAAAGGAAGAAAACAAGACTACCTCAAAGCCTACACGATCATGGACAAAGCATAAAGAAATGGGTAGATAGGATGGTGAGTGTTTATGACTCAATGTTAAAGTATTTATGAATCCATTTGAAGCTCATCTCTATAGGACCATGCATATCATATCATTTTTTATATGTTCATATATCTATTAGCAATAGACTATACATTTCATCACATATATATTTACAAATGAAGTCATTGCTAAAAAATGAGTTAGTTCAAGCTTGCTTAAGTTTTGAAAGAACTCATCTCTTATGCTAAAAATACTAAGACCGTACACATCAATCACATGATTCATATTGGTCAACAATTAAGGCATATGAAGCCTTCATTAACATGAGTTGGTAACATACATTAGGACCCCAGAATGCGCGTCAAAAAAAAAAATTGTGTTTTTGGTTAAGTGTAAAAAATGAAATTTTGAAATAATTATTATTTTAAAATAATTTTTCCTAGTAATAGCTTCTTACACTTCAAATAAGTTAAATTGATTTTATCAGAATTTATGACTAAGTCTACATTGGTTTACATACGGATTTATTTTTACCAAAACTATCGAAAATCCAAATTTGTACTAAAACTGAATTTCTACATTTTGATTTAGTTGGATTTCAATTTTCTTATATTTTTTTATTGAATTCAAATGTGGGGTATTTCCTTACTTTCATTCTAAACTTAAAGTAAATAGACGTATAAATACTATAAAGACATTTACTTAAATATTTAGAATAGAAATAAGGTATGTGTAGATGTCCTGTAGAAAAACTGTGTTGTCTGTTCACTTAGAACAAAATTCTGAAGTAACAGTTTTTCTGAAGTAGTTCATTTCAGCAAACCGAAATGAAATAGGAATATGTGTCGGACGACCGGTTACTGGGCAGTAGCCATACCAAGTTTGAGATCACAACTAGATGACCGAAATAAAACAGTCAAAAAGATCTTAGTTATTTCGGACGACTGAAATAAAGACCTCAGTCATTTCGATCGGTCGATTTGAGTCGAATTCAAATTCAAACGGCTATTTTACCTCAAAGTCCGTGCACAACAGCTATATTTTTGAATTAGCTGCATCAAAACTCTATAAATAGAGCTGGGGACTCCTGGAATTCGTGTTGCTACAATTGAGAGACATCATCTAGCATCCAAAGAGCTTTTGTTCTTATATTTATACATCTCATATCATTAGAAGAGTATTAAACTTCATTGTATTCATATATATACTCTAGAATGAGCTTAAACTTTGTACTACAAATCTGTGAGAGATTATCTTGTACTTAAAATCTGATATTCAAATTTGTTATAAAGCCTAAGAGAAGGTGTTGTCTTAGCAAAGGAAGAAGAAGCTAGCTGGCTTCAAATTTGTAAGGGTTGGTGTGACCCAAAGGAAGACTAAGGGAAGGTTGTTCCCTTAGCAAGGTGAAGTAAAGAGTTGCTTCATGTAAATGTTTACTCTCCACCCGTAAGGAGAAGTCATAGTGGATTGTGAAGTTTCAAGAGGGGTCTTGAGCCGAGGAGTAGGAGTTTTCTAACCTCGCTAAAATCACCGTGTGAATGTTTGCAAATCTCTCTTTCCTTATCTCCTTTACATTTATGCAATTAATTGCTTATGTCTATATATTGATTATTGCATAATTGTTAGAAGGCTTTCAGTAAAATTTGTAAAACTGAAAATTGGCCATTGTTTGCGATAGACTCTATTCACCCCCCTCTAGAGTCAATATTTGGGTAACAATTGGTATCAGAGCCTAACTCTATTTAAAATGACTTAACTGTCTTAGAGTACGATCATGGCTAACAATAGCATAGTCACACACTTAGAAGGACAATACATTGATAAACCTCCATCTTTTGATGGAACCAATTATAGATATTGGAAAAATGTAATGATAGACTTTCTCCAATCCATAGACTATCAAATTTGGCTTGTCATAGTTAATGGACCATTCATTCACATGAAAGAAGTAGAAAAGGCAATGGTTCCTAAAGAAGAGAAAGAATGGGATGCAAATGACCATAGATTAATTCAATGTAATGCTTTAGTTACATGCTATCTTTTTTGTGTATTGAGCAAAAATGAGTTCAATAAAATTATCTTTTATAAAACGGTTAAAGAAATTTGGGACTTACTTAAATTAGCCTATGTTGGATCAAGTCATGATAAGAAATCAAATATAAATGAACCTTCTAGCATAAATGAGATGCATTATAGTTTTATTAACATTACTAATCATTTAAATGTTATTGGTAGAACTAACTCATCCATTTATAGTGAAGAAAGTGACGCATTGCAAAAGAAGAGTATAGCTCTCCAAGCTTCTAGCAAAGAAGCAAGTAACATCAAAGAGTTGGTTAATCTTTGTCTCATGACCGATAAAGATAAGGTAAATTCTAATCATGAATCTTTTGATTTAAAAACTTCCTATAAAGAATTAGTTAATGAGCATAATGATTTGCATGATGCGTTTAAAGAGTTACATAGTGTGTTAGAAAAAATGCTTGTGAAATGTGCTTCTTTTAAAAAGGAAAACCATGATATCTCTCAAAGACATGAAAAAATTCAAATGAAAAATGACTCTTTGAAATAGGAAAATCATTATCTTGTGCAAGAATTAGAAAAGATTCAAATTGAAAATGAGTCATTGAAAAATGAAATGAAATGCGTATTCTCTAAAGAGTCATCATCAATTGATCTTTTTTTTTTTTTTTACCGAAAATGAGTCTTTTAAGAAAATCATTGATGATCAAAATGATATTTTAGCAAAGTTTATCAAAGAAAAAGAGAACTTGAGTATTATGCTTAGTAATCAAAGAAGTGTCGTTTTTAAAAATGGGATAGGGTATGATCCTCATATTAAAGATGCATGTTTACTGAAAAAGGGAAAGTTCTAATATGATTCATTTGATAAAAGTTCTTTTCAATATCCTAAATGTAATTATTATAAAAAGTTAGGACACAATTGTCCATTTAGAAAAAGGATGAGGACTAAGATTTAGATTTCAAAAGGAACTTATGTGCCATTACCTAACTCCTATGGACCCAAGAAAATTTGGGCACCAAAAAAAGATTTTCTAAGTTTACCTTGTAGGGTTGCTTGTAGGGCAACAAATGATAAGAGATTGTTCCAACTTTCACACGCTTAAAACTTATGATGAAGGAAGTTTTACATTTGGGAACAACTCCAATGTCAAAGTAATTAGTATCATTATACATGAAGAGTACTTAACAATTTATTGTACTCTTGAAGAGCATTGGTGTTGCAAATTAATGATATGATATATTTATGCATCATCTTTGTACAAGGACTCATTGAAAATGCAAACTGTTTTGAATGCATGTTTTATTGAAAACAGTCTTGTTCATGCATTGCCATTTATATATTGCATCTTAAGAGTTCCACTTAGAAGTAGTGAATATTGCTTGAGAATGAACTTTACTTTCCATAATGCTATCACTCCTTGATAATGAAATTTTGATTACGGAAAGAAAGGCATCTCTCTTATTATTGTTGAATACTTAAGGATTTCCAAAAATGGAACCTTATTAGGAAGAATATTTTTCTTCTTGTCAATTCTTGAAGTTGTTCATGGTTAAGGAACATAGAATTACTTTGTGATCCATATATGAAAGTATATTATTGGTTGATTGAGCTTTAATGTAATCCTAGGCATTTATTATTTGAATTGTCAAATGCATCATCATGCTAGAGAAAATTTAATTGCTAATCTATTATGAAGCATATTGAATAAAGATAGTATCACATTCATGCCTTGTATTGAATTAAGCTCCCAAAAGGAACCTTAACAATGTGTGCTAACTCACAAGGACCCTAAAAGTATTAGGTACCAAAGAATGCCACTTGAGTATGTTTTGTAGGTTAAAGACCTCATCTTTCAAAAACAAGTGGATTCATAAATATGGAGGGCTAAAGCACATGAAGAGAAATTAAGTCATGATTTCCCCTTGCTAACGAAAGGATGAAGAGTGCACTACATTGAGAAACAACTCCTAAGATAATGGAGTTAGTACCATGGGTAAAGAATCATTTTCTTCATCAATGATGTGCTTTTAGTTAATGAGTTTAAATGTGACTTAATTGTGCTATGTGATAAGGACTATACCAGCATTTCTATATCTAGTTATGACATAATTAATGTGGTTGGTAATCTTAACATGAATGCTACTCGTTGCAATATATGTATATATATATATATATATATATATATATGTTTATATTAAAGTAGCTTGTCTTGGACTATGTGGCTTAAACATGCTAGCATGAATTTATTGACAATCATTTCATAGCTTTTAGTTAAGGGACTCCTAAGACTAAATTTGTGAAAGGTATTTAGAAATTGCATCCCATTAAAGAAAATCACTCAAAGATATTGAAAGCTATTTCATTTAGATTTGTTTTAAAGTAGCTATCTAGAAAGTCATTTATGTGCCTTTATGATTTTGTTTCATTTACATTCTTTTGACATCATTTGCATATAAAATGAAATTATTTGAACTTGAAAATGTTGGTTCAAATTTGGAAAAGAAGAATAATTATGATATCCCTCTACTCCGAGACATGGGTTAATCAGGCCCAAGCCCAAACCCGAGGGATACCAGGCAATTAATATTTAAAAACGAACACGGAATACAAAATTGAATTAAGAAATAAAAATTAAAGCTGAAAAGAATTCTAATTAAATATCCTCAAAAGTTATTATTGTTAAAACCAATAATCCAAAACTTCCATTTAATTAATAACTCGGGAATCCATCTAGTGGACCCCTACTAAAATCCCAAACTGTAAATAAACAACTAAAGATAAAATCCACTCTAAAACATGGAAAAGAATCCTACATAATCAGAGGAATGAGTGTTTGTATCTGCTCTGCATGTCCAAGCTCTGACTCTAGAACTGACGAACATCTGAAAAATAAGAGAGTGGGTCAGACCTACATGCAAGTCCTATCCTACTATGATCTATACAGAAACCCGATACGTAGATACATCCTAGATAGCTCAACAATAACTAAAGTAGTCCATATATGTATAATTACACACTATAGGACGCTCACTAGTCCAATAGGTCTGTTTCAGCCTGAGTAGAGATATCATGTAAATCGCATATAATGTGGTCATGTGTACCTAGACCTACCAAGGAATAACACCTATGTCCAATTATCCATCCTAGGTGATATACGCACCCTAATCATGGTCTTGAGACTCAAGTTCATACCATGGCACCATAATGATAAATATATAAAGTCCGTATACTCCTAATACAAAATATCATCCATCTGATATAGTGGCCTGATATATGTATAACAATCCATCCAGAAACCAAAGTAGGTCATTTAATTGTTTCATTGACATGACACAAATATGAGTAGGACTTAACCTTTATGGTTAATCCAAACCTCAATCTAGATTAGGTAGGACTTAGTGTTTAAACTAATCCATACCTAGTATGTCACCGTCCCATACCGGTGCATACAATCCTCCAGCCAACATAGTTGACAAAACAGTAATAAATATTCATCAACCATATTCTAGAATAAGCATAAATATAGTTTAACACGTGTATGACAAATTATGCATCCAATATAAGATTTAGAAATCCTATTCCAGTCTTTCAAATTTATAAAGTAAGACTGAGCATTAAACTCATCCAAACAGTACCATAACTGATGCGATATACAATAGATTTAAACATCAATTAATCCTATCTAAGCATACTTGTTTTTCCAGATAAACAACTATATGCTTATAACACAGCTGAGACCTGATTATCAACTTTAAATTATGCAGAGAAACCAATTTGCTAAAAACAGTAAGCAATTTAAATTAATTATCCAACCTTCCACATACAGGTTCATTGTTTAACCTTATGTTATTTCAGTCATCAATATCCTAATATAAACATGCTTCCTAGTAGTTTTTACATCTCTGTAGCAATTATATACATTATTCACAGCCACTGAAACAATTGAGAAAACTCCCTACAGGCCAAACTGAACCCAGAACCACGAAAAACCAAAAAATAGAAGAGGGAGCCGCCTCCCCCAAACAAGGGAGCCGGATCTACCCCTTATAGAGCTGGCTCCACCCTTGTGGGAGCCGGCTCTCTCATCCCTAGAGCCGGCTCCCTCCTTTGGTGAGCCGGCTCTCCTCCTCTAAGAGCCGTAACGCCTAACCTGTTCATCTTCTTCGTCTCCGGCAAAGTTCAGAGCCTCTGTATTGTTTTTATTACTTGTTCTAGGGTTCAATCTCAGTCCCAAATTAATCCTAAACCATCAAGATACAACCATGATATGAATTGAACACAATTTTTGAAAACAACGGCAGTAGAAATTTAATTAAAAATTTTAAGCAACTCATAACAGATTAATTCAGTGAAATTAAATATTGTTTAAACATGCATAAAAGATGTGTTTTAGCATTAGTTTAATCCCTGGAGCCTACCTAGGCATGCACATATCACAAGTTTAAGGGAAAGAGTAGAACTGAGACTTGCCTTCAGTTTCAGTTTTGAAACTCTAAACCACCGTCTTTGAGTTTTTCGTCAACGTCCTAGACTGTCGTTTTACACCTCCGGTGCTCTTGATTCAACCCAGAAGCAAATCCGTTTCTTCCTCCTTGAACCTCTCTATTAATCTCTCAAGTTCACTCTCTGTTTCTCTCTGTCTCTTAATATCTGAATAGGGTTTATTTGTAACCCTATGCAGACGTATCATATTGTATTTATAGGCTTCACTTAAAACAAAACCTAATTCTAATTCTACTCCAACCATAAGTCAGCTACAACGTGAATCATAAAAGAAAAATAAAACCATAATTTGCAATTAACACTTTTAACTTATTCAAATAATTAAACAATTACAATAATTCAATTAAAGTCAAATAATGAAAAAATAATTAAATCAACTAATTTAAATAATTCAAATATCAAATAATTCAAATAATACAACTAATACAATTAATTCAAATAATACGCAATTAAACAATTAAACAAACTAAAAATGTAATTAAACAATTAATTAAATACCTGGACTATCCTTTTGAAATTAGGGGTATTACATTAATCCTTGGAAGAGCCATCTCATGAAAATGAAGAATGAGAATTGATATTGTCTTCCAAATAGTTAAATAATGTTCACCACCATCTATTTGATCATTCATTGGTAAACACTCTATTGTGCTAATTAAAGGAACTAATTCTTTCTTAAAAGTTAATATACTTTTAACCATGTTCCTTTACTGTGTAATCACATCATGATAAGTATCTTGAGTTATCATTGGTAACTAAACTAAACTACTCCCAAAGGTTACACCAAGAAGAAGAAATTAAATATATGTCTTTGTGCATATGACTTTGAATTAAAGTAA